TACTTATATTCAGCAATTAAAGAGTGCATTAAATTGATCAAAAGTGACACTAAAAGGCATTTATAACATTACAAAATATTTCTATTTCAAATAAATGTTGTTTTTTAACTTTCTATTCATCCATAAAATCCTTAAGTCCAAAACAAAACAAAAGCTGCTGAAAATTCAGCTTTGCCATCACAGGAATAAATTACATTTTAAAATATATTAAAATAGTAACCAGATATTTTTAATCCTAATAATATTTTTTATTTTCATTTTTTTTTACTGTACTTTTGATCAAATAAAAGCAGCTTTTGTGAGCATAAGAGACTTTTTTCAAAGACATTACAAAATCTTAACTTAACTTTTGAGTTTTAATTTTAGTGTAAATAATCAATTTGTTTTTAAACAAACTGCAGATGAGAAATAAATTGGCAGCATTCCATAATGCACCATAAGGGGCTGTTCACACAGTACACATTATTGTGTCTATCTGGGCTATTTTTTAATTGTGTAAACAAGCATTAAATGGATGCTTTTTCAGCATCTAAATCCATGAGCCCTATTAGCAAGGCGCTATATCACTTTAAAAGTAGTTTAACTTTAAGAAATATGTTCTATTGCATTCTCATGCTGTTTTTGAATAAAATAGCACATCCTGTGTGAGCGGCCCCTAGCAGAGCAGGAGCAAAATTGGTTCTGTGAAAGCACCCTGTGAAACATTACTTCCTGTTCTGCTTTCATGAGAGCCGAAGGTCTTCTTCTAGAAGGTCAAATCTAGCCAGCAATATAGTTGTGAGCCAAAGGCCTCCATTAAACATTCAGAGAAACGGCACATCAGCCCTTTCCGTGGCGTTTTCCATCCTTCGCTGTGTTATTTCTTCATGAAGTGGATATCCAGATGTTGAAGATTACATCACAAATAAAGCCTTCCAGTGGGGTCAGGGCTCACGACCGAGCGCAAAGCCACAGAACTCCCACGGTTAGCGCGGGAACTCTGAACTTTCTGCACTCCGAAATCACTATCAGTGTTTAAGAGTATCCATGGTGAGGAAGGCATCAACTGCAATGTTCCCAGGGAGATAGAACGACACCTTTCCCCATTACTGTACGGCTTATTGAGCTTCAATTACTCCTAACACACACAATGATAAGAGAGAAAGAAATCGAGAGAGAGAATAAGCGAGAGAGAGAGCTTCTAAGGGATGTGAAAGAGATGAAACAGGAGGCAGTGAAAAGGCCTGCTATTAGATGTCACTGGCCTTTTGTGTCCATGTCAATGAGAGCAGATTAAAGTATTTGAAATAATCTTACTGGGGCATTAACAGAGCTCAGAAGGCAAAAGAGGAGAAGAAAAGGAGAAGACGAGGAGTCAATCACGACACACATACATTTACACATGAAATGAGATTAGATACAGCCATCCAACGTAAACTAAACACACCCTCTGAGAAGAAAGCTAGGCAGTTTTAATTTCACGTGAGTAATTCAATTTACCCCAATCAGATTTTCAAAAGCTTCCCAATGAGTCCAAAGACTCGAACCCGGTCCCGTGAGCGCATGTCTCGCACTGCTGCGAGTAAGATTTGTTCTTTTAACAATCTAATAAGGCATTGTTAGTTGGCTTTATTTCCCTGACATTCCTCTGGTTTCGCTGAAGTGGCCTGTTGTGCCGTCTTATGAGAGGAACCTAATTAGGAAATCACTTTCATTACTCTTCCAGAGGAATTAGCGCTAGCCTTGCTAATTACTGCTGTAAAACCTAATCAGCTCTTTGAAACAAAACCACACTAATGAGCTCTTATTTATTCAGCTAAATAACTTCAAGGAAAGGAAGATGCTCAAAATCATATTTTTGATGAATTTGGGAGCGCGCGCTCATCTGCACTTGCCATAATTGATTCTGTTCCATCTTGCGCCTTGTTTGTTGGGAACCCCAGAATGTGAATGCGGCCAAGAAAATATTGAGAGTTCCAGTAAACTCTTCCATATCCCCCCCGCCCCCTCTCGTTTCAAATGACCTATTTTCCCGGCTTTGAGAGACACGTGACTAATAGGAAACTGTTACTAATTCCTTTTTTATTCGCAGGCAATTAGCGATGCCCTCGCACCTGAGCCTAAAGGGCTCTGCGGTGACCTCGAGCGCAGCTGCATGACTTCAGTCAGACCCGAAACACAACCGTTCAGACCACAAACAGCTACAACAGGAGGATCTGAGGAAGCATTTCAGACAAACTTTATGTAGGGAAACAATCGAGAAGAGTAAGTGATGGGCAGTGTGTTTGTGTGAGCGTGTGAGGTGATGCCACGTGGCATCTAGGGGCTGCAGCTGTCTTTGAAAGCTGTGAAGCGTTCTAGCCCAGTGGAGCAGAAATGGGCCAGCCGCACAAACACAGCAGCCAGGTAGAAGCCTCTCTTACTCTGTTACAAGCACGCACATACACTACACTACTGCTGGCAAACCTACAGCTGTGTTCATCTGATAGCACAGGCCACTGACTTATTAACACACAGATGAGAACACACCTTTGACACTTAACCGCACTTTAATCTGCAGAAATCCATGCTTAGTTTGCTCGCACCACGGCACAATCGAGTCAGAAATGAAACAGTCTCGCCCTCAATAATAACGTGACATGGTGGTATGATCTTTTAAACAAAAGCGGTAGGAGACGTGCTTCGCTGCACACGCTGCTGCCTCCAGAAATCTTGTACATCTTCACTGCTGATTATTCATGCATGCACACTTCAGAGCACACTACATACTCAACAACCCCGACAGGGCCTCAAAACAGCCTAGCCCGATCACTAAACAATTACTGTTTTGCAAACAAATGGCTTCTGGTCCCTTTTTTATGCTTGTTGTCAAGTTGTTTTTCTCACTGATGGTGAATTCTTTGAACTGCTGCCTTTGATTTGCAGCGTTTTATACTGAGCAATAGAGCGTATACAGTGATATAGAGCAGCCACAGAGTGTCTTCACAAAGTGTCCATAGAGCAACACTTGTAATTTTGATTTGTTTGAAAGTGAATTGAATTTATTAAGTGCCTTATCTCTGTAGTGATGCTAACACTGTATTAAACATAGGCTCTTATTTAATTTGATATGAATTTAAACAGGTTTATAGAAAAAGAAGTACAGTCTGTTATTTGTTTGTACTTACCCAAGGGTGTAGTTTTGGTTTGAACATTGGGTAGAGTCCCTGTTTTAGTAGAGTCCCGGGTCATGCTCATTCATTAAGGTTTTTTTTATATATGTGTGTGTGTGTGTGTGTGTGTGTGTGTGT